GCTTGCACACTTGAAAGGAATACTATTTATTTATTTTATTTATTTAAAACATTTCTATGCCGCTCCATTCGCCGAAGCCTCAGGGCGGCTCACAACATAAATTAAAATATAATACATTAAAAATATAAAACAAATTAACAATATAAAATAAGTCGCCCTGGCCAACTGCACAGGTTGCCAAATATAAGATGGAGAAGCATCCACAATCTTCTTGGTATGAAACCAGTCCTGCTACAAGATTTTTATCCCTTTCAAGACACCGGTGGGAATCCAGGTTCTCTTTGTTGTGATGCTGTTTTCTGGTCTGAGATGCTGCTGATAGTGGCCATCTCACACCCTCACACCCCAGCCATTAAAGCAACTTTTACAGCGCTGCTGCTGCTTGGGAAATGGCACATTTCTGCCATGCATAAGACAAGCTGGCTCTTCGAGGCTGAGATGGAAACCCGTTTAGAGCTGCAGAACCACCCCGCCCCACAAAGATCATCCGCACACACCAGAGAATTAGGTAAAAGATCTCAGCCGCTTAAGAGGCTGCTTCTTTGTGGTCCAGAAAGCAAGATGAGAACAAGCTGTCAGAGCTGGTAAACTGAAATTGGTTTATCTAATCCCAGCACATACAGAGACAGTAATTGAGTGTGTACAATTTGACAACCCGTTGTGTGTTGCTACCAAATTTCAGTTACTGACTTGCTTGGTAAGAACAACAAAAACCCCTTCCTACTTTTGCCAAATGTGCCCAGGCAGCAGCCAGCGCTAGCCACTCCAGAAGTGCACAAGTGGCCCTTGGAGGTGTGTGTGTGTGGGGGGGGGTGTACCCTTTGCAGGCAGATCCCCATGTTTTGTTTTGATTTTTGAACTTGTATCCTCACATTTGGGCTTGATGATGAAATTCTGCCATCTTCCGACAACTTCAAAAGTAAAGGACCATTTTTTAGGTGGAATTTAGAAAAGTTTAAGGGGTGTCCTAAAGGTGAGGTCATTTTTCCAGTTGTTCCTGAGATTCTTGTGCTTCACAGGAAAGTTTCCTCACTGCCAGGGCAGTATTTCAATGGAACCAATGATCTAAGATGGTTGTGGGCTCTCCCACACTGGAGGCATCCAGGATGTAGACTTCTAAATGGGATGGTGTAACTTGGTGTCCTGCAACAGCAGGGGGTTGGGCCCAATGGCCTTCTTTGCCCCTCCCAACCCTATTATTCTGTGAATCAGTGACAACATAGAGAAGTACAAGTCACCTGCTTTTCAAAGGAACTGGCATTGTGACAACTAGCTGTCAAACTCAAGCTCACTTTGAAAGGGCTTTCTTGATGGGGCATATGCAACCTGATAGTGCCCTTTAAAAGGGGGTGGGTCATACTTTTCCATGTTCCACAGCACCTAGAATGCTGGGGACAACTGGAAAAGTAAGCTCACCTTTCAAGCTATGTAGTGGAAAAAAGGAGGATCTTGCCACGAATGAGGTATAAGTCTAATCAACCCCTTTTCATGAGCAAAGGTCACTCACACTTTGACTTTGCACTGAGAGCTAATCTTCTGACAGCTGTCAAGAGAAACCAAAGGAAGAAAAAGCCCACTGGGAGCCTCACTGAGGCAAGGCCTAGGAGTGGTTCCTGCTGTATTCTAACAGCAGAGACCTCTGAAGACATGGACCTAACAGAGGTCTCCAACCTCCACACACGTGAAACCGCACACTTCTACTGCTGAGCAAATGCAGCAAAATAAGTACAATAAAAGGACAATTAAAAAAAAATAGATTTCTCAACCACTGATGGCCCCTGCAAGTGTGCATGTGATGCTCCCTTTGAAGGGACCGTCAGTGACTCTCAAGCTGGCTTTCATTATTTCTGAGGAGTGCAGGGTGGTAAAGCATAAAAAAAGACTGCAGTGAGTTGAAAATGGCTTGTAATCACAGCGAGGAGGAGATATGGAAGACACATTTGTCTTGCTGTGGGGTCCCCTGAGGTACCTGTGGGAGTACTGGGTGTGGAGGGTTGACCAACCCACAGTGACCCCAGACATATGTTGGCTGCACTGTGTGTTTTCAAGGGATAATCAGTCCACTGTGGCTTATTGCCAGTGTAGGTTGATATGATCTGTGAAAGCACCCAGAGGATCCTTTGTCAGGAATAATCTGGCACAATTACATAAAGCAAATAACTTCACACACATATTTCAGTGAAAATCAGTTTGTCCTTCTCTTTCTTCTGTACTATATGGACAGATTCCACTGCCGGTCCTTTTACGTAGGACTGTAATCCTATCTTTGCAGCTGCTCTGCAAATCACCAAACTTTTCTCTTAGGTCAAGTTGGTTTCCCTTATCAATCGTCTCTCATAGTCAGATGTCCTGTATTTCACCCACTGTCCAGTCCCTTATCACACAGTCTTTGCTATTTTCACAGCTGCACTTGGCTGCTAGTAACTAGTGCAATATTCCTCAGTGCCTTACTGCTTGGTCCTACATGAAAACTTTTATCTTTCCATTGCTTCATTCTTTCTGAGCTTCCTGTGGGCAAAGTGTGCTTGGGGAATTTTGCACATAGTGTTTCATTTATTCCTCTCCCCTCTCTTCAGTTTCCAGTTTCATTTCCACAGGATCCTCCTCCTCTGCTATTTCAGCATCAACATAAAGATTAAACGCTTCCCAAGTTTTCCATGCCTAGGCTATGTTCTCAGCTTGCAGGTTGAATGTCCTTGGTTGCTTCAGGACCTCCATTTTAGCCCTCCTTTCTTGGTAGCTTGTTTTTTGTTCTGTTGCTTGATCAATTCACAGTTGCGTTCACTTCTGTTTCCACTGCCATCACATTTCAGAGCTGCTGCACTACACCCACAGACTCTCAAAACAAATCTGCTTCATTTACATGAAGCCATTCCACAGAGCTCTCTCAGGCCCCACCCTCTCTGTCCTCAGGCCAGCAGCCCTGGCTGGTGCCTTTGACCACTTTGTGGTTCCTCCCAGGAAGCACAACACACTCAGGCTGAATCAGGAGTTCTTTCATATGGTTCTATCATCTGCATTTCATCACTCAAGTTTGCTAATCTCCAAGCCTTGGAGAGAGGGAGAGACCTTCCTGATGGCTGGAGGGAGAACCTGCATTGCTTGAAGGGCATCTGTGCAAAAAAAAAGGACAGGATTTTGTCATCCTTTTGTTTCTCCTTGCTTATCTTCCTTCAGGAAGCCACATTTTATTTCCACCCTGTAAAGCACCCAGTGTGTTTTTCTTGTGCATATTGAGTCATTGCCCTCGCCCATCATCCAGATTCTCTCACTGTCAGTAGCTATTATGGTTGGAGCTCAGGTGCTTCTCAGCATTCTGTCAGCTCCTTGCCAATTTATACATATATATATAGTGGTACCTCGGCTCACGAACTTAATCTGTTCCAGTGACCCAAATTGGTTGTGAGCCAAGTTAAATTTCCCCATAAGGTTCAGTGTAAATAAGGTTAATCCATTCTGTAACTATTTTTTTTTAAATCAGAAAAATTGGAAGCAAAGTGACAAAGAGCAACAAAGATTGCGACTATCTCCCTCACCCCAGCACGAGCGAGGCCATCTCCCCGCCCCCCCCCATCACGACCGCAATCACTCCTGTCATCCCTGCATGCCCCCCCCATCCCGGGGCGCTAGGGGGGGGGGGGGGCGGGGAGACGGGCGTGCTCGTGCTCGGGGTGCTGTGGGGGGCAGGTGCTGTGGGGGGGAGAGACGGGTGTGATTGTGCTGGGGGGGGGAGATGGCCTAGATTGTGGTTGCGCTCATGCAGGAAAAATGGGCACAATCACGGGCACGCTCATGCAGGAAAGACAGGCACAATCTTGACCATCTCCCTGCCGCCCCCAGCATAATTGTGGCCATCTCCTAACTGGGGGCGGGGGGCGGCGGAGATGGCCGCAATCACAGTTGCCACCCAATTTGGAGTTCGCGACCTGAGTAAAAATTTTTATGAAATTTTTGTTCATGACCTGATTTGGTTGTGAACTGAGGCGTTCGTGAGCCGAGGTACCACTGTATCAGGACACATCTGTGAAGACTATGAGAGCCACTAGCTGGTTGTTTGTCAACATTAACACTTTGTGAACATTCATTTCTTTCTACCGTTAAGCCTGCTAAATCCAAAATTTAAGCTCACTTTTCTCTAAGACTCAGATCATCTTTGATCTGGAGAATATGTATGGAAACTATTTACACCTTGCCCTTTGATGCTACTGATTTCAGATTTTCTTCTCTGGCAGACAGAACACTACGGGGAGGGGGTGGGGAGACGTGAATGCTGCTTTTCCAATCTTGGCTCCAAGGATTAGGATCAAATTTAAATGTTAAATGACGTCTTTGTCCTATTTGAAATATCAACTGAAATGTTTTTGATTGCTTCTCAACCATCCTCATATAGCTCCCTCTAAAACAAAGTTTTTCACCTTTAAAAGATGTGTGGGGGTTCATTGAGGGAAAGCAACACAAGAATCTCTTGCTTTAACCTGCTTAGCTAACTGAAGTTTAATTCTTAGAACCCTGTTTTCTATTTTTTGTATGTCTGACTTCATGTTCTATTTTGTGTCCTTCAGATGAAACTTGTCACTGTCAAAGGCTGCAGGTGCAGCTTACCTCAAAGTGAATATGAACCCTACTGTGCTGCACGACTACAAGCTCTGCCCTCAGACATCTCTGGATTACCATATAGCAGGGGTAGTGACAGGAGTAAAAAAACCCACTCATGCAGAGTCCACTGGGGACAGGTACAATTTAATGAACATTTATAGTTTATTGAGATGCAGAGAACAGAGTACAAAAGTTGTCTTGAAACTCAACATTAAAAAAAAAAGAACTAAGATCATGGCATACTTTCCTATCACTTCCTGGTAAATAGAGAAGAAATGGAAGTAGTGACAAATTTTTATTTTCTTGGGCACCATCACTGCAGATGGTGACTGCAGCCATGAAATTGAAAGATGTTTGCTCCTTCGGAGGAAAGCTATGGTAAATCTAGATAGCATACAAAAAGCAGAGACATCACCCTGCCATCACCCTGTACAGTCAAGGCTATGGTTTTCCCAGTTGCAATGTATGGCTGTGAGAGCTGGACCATAAGGAAGGCTGAGCATGGAAGAATTGACAATTTTGAATTGTGGAGTTGGAGAAGACTCCTGAGAGTCCGTTGGACTGAGAAGAGACCAAATCAGTCAATCATAAAGGAGATCAACCCGGACTGTTCTTTAGAAGGACAGATACTGAAGCTGAAGCTCAAATACTTTGGCCACCTAATGAGAAGGAAGACTTGTTGGAAATGACCCTGATGCTGGGAACCATTGAAGGCAAAAGGCAGAGGATGAGATGGTTAGACAGTGTCACTGATGCAATGAACATGAAATTGGGTGAACTCCGGGAAACAGTGGAGGGCAGGAGAGCCTGGCATGCTGTGGTCCATAGGGTATCGAGGAGTCGGGCATGACTTTGCTACTGAACAACAACAACAACAACATTAGGGGCTCAAGACAGGGGAATATACAAGTACAAATGCCACAGATATTCCTTTTCACCAGCCTCTCAAAGCCAGTGTTTGGGGGAGCCAGCAAGATCCACGCTCAGTAGCCAGAGCAGCCAGAGTGAACCAGGAGAAACACTACTTCTGGCCAAGCATTAGGGGAATGAGGAGAAATCCAAATTAAGACTGTTCTATTTGTCTCTATGGTAGCTGCATCCATCAAACTGGATGGTGGGGAAAAAACTCAATCCCAAGTCTCTTAAATAGTATTAAGTAGCAGCTGACAAAAATAAGCCAGCTGTGAAAGAGATTAGTTTTCTCTAACCTAGTACCTGCCATATATACAACTCCCAGTATTTAGGACCACTAACTATGCTGATGGGAGTTGAAATTCACTCTGGAGGACACTGCAAAGGCTGGGAAAGTTTGGTATAGATGCTGGACTCTCCTGTTACAATGCTGCATCAATGTGGATGTGGCTTGTAAGACAACAGTAAAAGCAGGGGACCTATCAAGTGTGCCGCATTGCTGGTTTTGATGCTTCACAGATTCTGCATCTGCAGGAAGGAGGGTGGGTCATAGCTCTATGTATTCAGCTTGTACACAGGACGTACTACAGCAACAAAGCTGGAATAACCATTTGGGCAAGCAGAGGAGGCAACACTGGGGACCACAGCTGTGCCATTTTGAATGTTAACAACATCTATAACGAAATTCTGGCAGAGCAAGAGTGCTTTGTTCTCGTACTGGATGGCATCATCAGAAGAATCTGGCAGTGCATGGTGGAGAACAAGGGAAATGTCTGAGGAACTGGAGCTATCAGTTTGGCTATTTGTCGGCAAGACCTGGTAGGAGAAAGACCAGGAGATGTTCTGGGTCTTGAAAAGGAAGCTAGGATGTTTGCTTGTTTCAAATGGTGGAAAGAGGTTGGACCCATCCAAGTGGTCAGAAATGAACCACTGTAATGAAGGGTTGTAAACTAGGTGTCTGCTCCAAGCAGATCCAGTATAAAAACGAGGGACATATGAATCACTGCTGAGGTCATGGAGCTTGTACTGCCTTAGGAATTTTAAAGGCACAGTGTGGAAGTCTAACGCATCCATAATATTCCTCTGGTACTTATTCTCACCATCTTTATGAAGGGCCAGAGTGAACCGCAGTTCTAACAGCTGCTCCGGAAGGAGCATGGGAAAACGGATTTTTTCCCAGAGGCCCCTCGTTGTTACATTGGACCGTGCCCAGTGGTACAAAGCTTTCAGCAGGGACCATTCACTCTCAATTACTACATCTGTGCGGGACAGAAGAGCCTTCATCTTCTCTGAGGAAAGAGCCAGCCAAGCCTCAGTGCGGGTCAAAGCCTCAAAGTTCCAGGCTAGGTACTGCAGGATGACTTCCTGTAGCTGGGCATCTCCACTGGTTAGGCTGTAGTCATACAGCTCCAGATGAACATGAAAGGAGGGGTCCAATGGAAAGATGGAGAGGAATATCTGGTTGCAGTAAGCTTGCAAGCTTGCTATTCCATATGCCACAGCCAGCTTGTGAAAACACTTTACTGAATTCATGGAGATTTCAATCTGCCTGGAGTAGAAGTACCTTGATGCACAGAAGGAAACAAAAAGGTATGATTAAACATTCCATTGTTTGCTTTCATTCTAAGGATTTTGAAAGACAAAGACAGATCTTTGAGAATAATATTTTTGAGCATTCCACATTCAAGCATTTAAAATGTGCAGTGCTTTTTCTTTTGTAAGTATAGTGTTTATTCATTTTTCTGCTGTATTATAACAAGAAAGATAAATACAGAACATAATTCAACAATAACCAGAGTGTTAGACTGGAACTCAGCAGATCTGGGTTCTAATCCCCACTCAACCATGAAGCCAACTGTGTTAGTTTGGGCCAGTCACTGATTCTCAGCCTAACCTACTTCACAGGATTGTTGTTGTGAGGATAAAACAGAGAAGAGAATGATGATGTAGGTTACCTTAGTCCTGGAGAGAAATGTGCTAATGATGTATTTATTAGATTTCTATCCCACCCTTTTTCTTAGAAAGAACTCAAAAGTTACCTGAAGGAGCGCTTACATCCATATATGCCCAGCCGCCCCCTGAGATCGGCGGGAGAGGCCCTTCTCCGGGAACCCTCCGTGAAAGAAATTAGGAGGGTGGGTACTCGGAGGAGGGCTTTCTCTGCGGTGACGCCTAAGTTATGGAATGCGCTCCCCAGAGGGGTCCGCCTGGCGCTGTCGTTATTTGTTTTTCGGCGCCAGGCGAAGACGTTTTTATTTCAGCGGCATTTTAAATGTTAATATTATTGAATTTTATCTGGCCAGGGTGGCTTATTTTATATTGTATTTGTGTATTTTAATCTAACGTTTATATTTTTAAGATTATAATTATTTTAATTTATTGTTGTAAGCTGCCCCGAGGCTTCGGCGAATGGGGCAGCATAAAAATGCTTAATTAATTAATTAATTAATTGTGCCTAACTAATTCTCCTCCTGGTCTCAATCTTATCCACAGAACTATAGCCTATGACATAGGCTGGGTTAAAGATCTGTGGCTGGCCCAAATGAGCCCAGTTGGCTCCATGGCTGAGTGGGGATTAGAACCCAGATTGTCCCAGTCCCAGGCCCACGCTCTTAACCACTACCACATTGGGTCTCTTTATAATAAGTTCTCTCACAATATATATAGGTTCATTCACACCTGGATCTTTATATTGCTATGAGTAATATAATAGTTCATCCTAGACTATAGCTCTTTCACATGGTTAAAATCCTCATTTTTCTAGGAAATTAACAAAAAGGGTAGAGGAAACCAAGGCAAATACGGCAGAATATCCATTATTTATTTACTATATTTTTGAGATTTTCTATAACCAAATGTTCTCAGAAAGTCAAACAAGATGTCAGAAATTAATGATATTAAATACAAAAGTCAACCAGTAAAAAGCATCTGTGCTCATTGCAATTAATGCAACACAACAAACATGAGAATACTATTAATCCTAATAAGGAAACTCAGGGGCAAAGGACATGTTAACATATGAATGCAATTAAGCCCTGTCAGGTTTTTTGTTTTAATGAAAAGGAAAGGCGAGGGAGGGAAAGAGGGTGTGCTTAACTCCATTTCTGCCTGCTATTTTTCTGCTCCAATTAACTCACTACATAGGTGTTCAAGTGTCAACAGCTATAAAGGCTTCTGGAACTGTGAAAGCAGAAACGCGTGTGCAGAACAGTTGGGAGTGGTTAAACAGAAGCTCCATTGATGAATATTTGCTTCCATCAATTAAAATTTGTTCCCTATGATATAATTAACAAAAAGTTTTATTGGATTAAGCTACCAATTTAAAAGTGAGTGCAGTTCTACTTTGTATCCTTGCCGAAGTGGCAGAAGGTTATTTCTGATTTCTGCCCATCCATGAAGCACAAGCCCCACCCAGAGCAGAGAGATCAGCCACTGGAATGAGTGGGGGGCGGGCTCATTGTTTTTCTCTGCCCTTCGCAGCAACCCCACTTTATAGCAGGTGGGAGCTAACCTGGTATCTGCCAACCTGTTTGAGGTGATTTGGTTGCAGGGCTAGTCCAAGACACTTTGCTGCTAGGAGTGAAGTTCGAGATGGCAACACCACCATGCTATAGGTAGAACCTGACTGAATACAGTGCCCGTGCCCACTGGCGTCACATTCTTCACCGCACCTGGGAGCAACAGACCAGTTCATGTGGTATAGGACAGGCCACAAAGTGTGCTCACAGCCCTCTTGTCCAACAAAGGCTGCCCTCAACATTTGCCTCCTGATGCAGTTCACCTCACACCGGACAATGGTAGGACTGGCCCGGTTTTCTGGCTGAACAAGTTCTCTGTTCTGGAGCACCATAATGAAAGCTGATATATTAGCTTCAGAACACGGTGCTGTACTGTGGCTCAAATACGGCAAGAGTCGTCCTGTGCTCTAGTCCAGTGTGGATACACGGAATGCATTGCAACACACGTCCAGAAAGGAGCTTGGGCTTGCCATGCTGAACCCTCGTGTGTCTCACCTGACAAAGCTGCTCGCAAATGGCAAGCACTCTTCTTCCACCTGCAGCGTGCTTGAGTTCCCGCTCTCTGGGAGCAGAACATGGGCCTCATGGTTTGTATGAAGAATCAGTCTATGTGCACACAGGCTTAGAGGTTCCATGGTCTTCTCTGCCACCAGCACAATGATGTTGAGGTCACAGCCCTGCTGGCTGTCATACAATTTGCCAAAGTCCTCAGAAAAACCTCCAGAGTGATCCAGGAGAAACTTTCTGGGTTTGAACTCAACTTCTGGAATGACAAGAACAAAGTTAAGTCTAAGAAGGTTTTAGGGGCTAGAACAAAACAAAAACAAAAAACCCCAACTGACTTCCAATTTGCAATATAATATCTTAGAACAGCTAAGTGGGAATGTCATGGATAGGACATTTTGGAGGGATTTCATTCATAAGTCAGAGATGAGTGGGATGGTGTAAATTGGTGTCCTGCCTGATGGCCTTTTTGGCCCTTTCCAACTTAACTTTTCTATGATTCGGTGACTTGACAGCACATAACAACAACAAACAAATGGCTCC